AAGAAATGATGAAGAACATGCCTTTTGAACAACAAATGGATGGCCCAGCGGGTCTTGGGGGAAATATCTCAACAGCATCTGTACTTGGTAATAGCTTGCCTCACTCTGCCTGTAAGACACGGATGGGTGGCAGGATCTTCTCCCTGTTGTTTGTTTTCTAGAATGCGCAGTTTTAAAAATAGGAATGATTCAACTTTCAGAAATACATTTGTCTGCAGAGTCAGCCTAAGGTGCTTCTTGAAAAATTATGATCACAGCAAGTTCTGGAAACAATCTGCTCTACTTCAGCCCAAAGTAAGAGAAAAATAAACAAAATCTGTAGATACTTTGGTCCCATACCCTCATTATAAAGATAAGAATACCAAGGCCCACATAAAAATAGATACGGGAAACTTCGGTTTTTGATATACCCCTCACACCCCACACTGGGGGCAGTCAGAGAAAAATGCTGAAAGAAAACTGTTTTCAGGTTGTTCTTATTGATTTCCTCCTTGTGAAAACAAGACCACGCTTTTGCCAAACTGTTAATGGTTGCATAAAAAATTTTCTGGAGACCTTCCAATCCTCAAATTCCTAATGACTGTCAGGTCATCACTGTGAACATTTACATTATTTCTTTATTATGCCCTGTTGTGTATTGGTGTGGAAGTCTGACAAGTTTTGCCCTCAGAACTTAGAATTTTTCGAGCAGGTACACAGACTAAAACGTAAAGAGAAAACACAAATATTTTTAACATTTGATGAGAGCTCACTCCAGAAAGCTGTTTTGGAGCTGTTAAGAATAATTTGAAATTAAATCTCTTCCTTTTTTTTTTTTAAACAAAAAAGTTACGTATGTCTTTCTACCATTAAAACTCTTTAGGTCTGCTTTTTTTGTGGAAGGACATACTTAGAAACTAGAACACATGAGGCGATCTCCTGGTGTTAAAAGTTACCTGACAAAGTCGATGGAATTGGGGTACTTAAACATCAATCCTATACATGTATGTGTGATGTGTGGGGGAGGTATGTGTGTGACTATCGTTACTTTTCTGTCACGGGTTCTTACTGGTGAATCCGTTACAGCTGTAGGGACACTAAGGAGTGGAATAATGATGAAGAAACATTCTATGCTAAACATCTAATTGTAAGTAATATCCATTCATTGTAGAAAATCACAAAGAATGAAGAAACTTACCTATCATTCTATTAACTAGAGAATGCAAATATAACATGTGAAGTAACATCCTAGCCTTCTATCAGTCGGTACTTAAATGCTACTTTTTCAATCCATCCAAAATGCTTTTGGTTTCCAACAGTATGCTGTCCAGACCACAGGAGAGGGTGCCTGGAGAACACCTGAATGCTCTGGGGACAAGGGGCATTAACAAATGTGTGTTGAACAGGCTGGTTGGGGATTTGGGCCAATTTGAGAATGGAAGTCTTCTCGGAAGTGGGCATATTTAGGAATGTGTCATATTTCCTGCATATTGTGAACCACTGTAGCTTCAATGGGGAGTGGCAGAAGCAGAGGGAGAAGCAGGCTTCCCACTGAGCAAGGAGGCCGATGAGGGGCTCGATCCCAGGGCCCCAGGATCATGACCTGAGCCAAAGGCAGACGCTTACCCACTGAGCCACACAGGCACCCCAGTGAGGGACCTACTTCAGATCTATATTGTCTAAAACATTGAACACACCCCATCACACACCAGTTTTGCTTTCATGATACCTTTCATGAACTGAGTGCAGATGAATGCTTCCAACCATTTATTCTAGAGCTCAAAGTAGCAACTTGGACCTAAAGGGCTATCTTGTGAGTAAATATAAGCCAATATACAAAAATTAAAAAGAAATAAAAGGTTTCTTTTCAGTATGTTATGCTTGTATTTCAACTTGGAAACACTGTAAGGGGTGGGTGAGGGCAGAAATAATACTTAATCTTATAGGTCATCTCAGGGATATAGACGTGTAACAATCAAACTCAACCATATATAACAAACAAACTCAACCATGTGTAACAAACAAACTCAACCATTTCACAGTGCCCAGCAAAACTGAAAGGAAGAGGGCCTACCATCTGGGGACCTACCATACCATCTGTAGAAATGCAATGGTTTGTTCCAGAAATACTATTCAAGTCACTCTCTATCCACAGGTGAAACTGTCAACTCATACATATTTGTAGCAGGTGCACAGTAACCTATGTGGGCATGCTTTACTGAGTTAATAAAATCAATGAGAGGAGTGAAAATGCTAATAGAGGACCCTGAGCAAATCGCAGTGTAGCCCCAGAGAGCTGTGTAGCTCTGATAAATGGTTTCTCTGCACCTGACTTCACTGCCCTGTGAAATATGGATGTTGAGATCTTCCACAGTGCACAACGGTTGTGGACATGTTCAATGTGCAGCACACACAGTGGGCTCTCAAATAAATGGAAGATGTTATCAGATGAGTCTCCATTTGGATAAAAGTTAGCCTAAGTAACATCTGATTATAACAAAAAACACTGGCAATTTTAGTTCTGAAAGCCGTAGGACAAATTTCAACACCAGTTCATTTCTAAGATGATTGTTACCGGGATAGCTAAGAGCAGATTTTCAAAGGAGGTTGGAACTGACCATTTATTTAAGATGGCTGCATTTTATGATACGTAAATTAGATCAATAAAGTTGATTTCATCAAAGAAAAAGTTTGTAATAAATGAGCTCTAAATTCCCCTGCAACTGTAGAATTCTATCATCTCCCAAAGTCCGTTGATCTGCCCAAGGTCAGAAATCATGCCAGATTACCAGCTTTGACTTTACCACATTTGAATTATTGCGAAAACTTCAGAAATATGATGATAAAAGGTGTATTTAATTCCTACTGAAGGTACAAACATCTACTCATTGATAGTTCATAATTAGCTTTTTATCAACCACGTTTGTGGTTTCTCATTACAGAGCAATTAAAAGTAAGCCAGTAGAGAATACAATGTAATGAAATGGAAATATGGCCATGGTACATTACCTTTAGGTGGAAAAAAGCTGATAAGACAGAACCATCCAACTTTTGTAAAAATGTATATACAGAAAGAAATTTTTGTGAAGCTACCTACGAGATTATTAAGTATTAGTTAACTCTAAGAGGAGGGTTATAAAGGATTTGTCTTTTCTTTTTTTTTTTTTTAAAGATTTTTATTTATTTATTTGACAGAGAGAGACAGCAAGAGAGGGAACACAAGCAAGGGGAGTGTGAGAGGGAGAAGCAGGCTTCCCGCGGAGCGAGGAGCCCAATGCGGGGCTCGATCCCAGGACCCTGGGATCATGACCTGAGCCGAAGGCAGACACTTAACGACTGAGCCACCCAGGCGCCCCTGTCTTTTCTTCTTTTTTGTTCATTAGCTTGCCTATATTTTCAAATTTCCAAAAATTTGAATTATTAATTCTATAATAAAGATTTTTAAGTAAAAGTAAGTTCAAATATTACAACTACAAGTCACTCTGATTAGAGGTAAAACATTACAAGTGGGCTGAATCAGTGTAAACCCGAGGTTATAATCAGGAGGTCCACAGACAAGTTCAAATTAGCTCTTGATTGACAGATTTCTCATTTCTCTTGAAAAATCACAAGTCCTGAGAACACAGGGCTAGGATGGCCTGCTTGCCCAGCAAAGCCGCTGCCTACTTCAGATGAGGCCTCCATTCTCTCATTTGCCAAAAGATAAGCATTTAAGTTTCCCACCTGTGGTCTAAACAGTACAGCACTGTAAGCCAGAAACATTTTGTAAGGGCTGCAAATGTAGCACTTAAAGATGAGCTGATCCCAATTTTCTTGAAATTTTTAAAAAGTGTACATGTGTGCAATGCATACACACACACATGCACACCACACATACATACATGCTGCTAGACTAAAATGATATAGTATTAATTGAAATGTACTGGATATCTCTGGTCAGTAGAATTGCAAGTGAAGTCTTTTGTTTCTCATGCTTTTTATTTGTATTTTTTGGATTTTCTAGAAGGAACTAATTTCACGTATAATTAGAAGTCTGGGAAAACAATTTTTTGACTAATGTCTCCTACCCCATGTCTAATTTCAATTAGTTAACCAGTGAGAACCTACGACAGCAAGTCAGCAATAGCTACACACACGCACGTGCACACACACACATGCGTGTGCGCACACATGTACAAAATTCGTCTGATCACCCTGATTCCCATGGGCACTGTCACATAGCTTTAAACCCAAAGAGTTCACCTTACGCATTTTAGTCTGTAAATACGTCCATTCACAAAGAAGCAGACTTAAAAAATTGTTTTAGTAGTAGAGAAGATGTATTTTTTAATTAAAAAATCAACAACAACTAGTTGCTATGTAAGATAATTCATTTCAGATTACTCTCCAAAGATCTAAAACGGTACAGAGTGGACTTCCATGAAGCATTAGAAGGATTGATGTTTTCTTCTTCTTTGGAGGCTATGTGTCTGTTCAAAAAATTCCCAGTTATGAGGGGGAAGAAAACTATCAGGCTCTCACACAAACACAAAACAAGACATAGTAGAGAAATCATTTAAATGTTCACGCTGACGACCTGACAGGCTTGAGAATTACAAGCACTGGAAAGACTGCAGAAAATTCCTACCACAATATTCGTGGTTTGGCAAAAGCACTGTCTTGAGTTCACAGGGAAGAAATCAATAAGAACTTGAAACAGTTTTCTTTCTTGGTGGGAAAAACAATTGCCATAAATTGCAAGTATTTTTTTTTCCATCCTTTTACGCAGCAAAGAAAACTACAAAGACCTTTTGGCCCTCTCAGGTATACTGAATTTTCAGGAATCCATGACATTCTAAAACTTATTTTTAAAGAACCTCTGTGAAAAAGAAAGCTGTCAATTTTGGGTTGAAAGGTGTCGTTTTCACCTTTTAAACAATCTAGTGATAGATTTAGACAACCAATAACGTGCACACTACAAACTACTTTATCCTGCGAGTCACCTGTCATTTAACCTGGAGCAAAGGTGGCCATGTCCTTACCTAAAGACTGGTAGAGCTCTGTCATTTTGGGATGATCCCAGCAAGTTGTTTGGGTCTCATGGCTATAAGAGAAAATACAAAGAGAGACTTTAGAATTTATAATGGGTAGTAAAGAAAAGGAGGAAAGAAAAGTATGGTTTGCTTCTATTTCATTCAGCATCGTTACTTCAAAGGACTTCGTCACGCAGTTGAGAATGTTTCTTACAAGCAGAGAGGCTGCTACCTTCGCCCTCAAAGGGAAAAGCAACATGAACACGCTTTGGGAACCAGAATTTCTTTCTTTTTGGTGCCCACAAGTCGGTTGTCCTTCTGTTGTTATAAAATGACTTGGTTATGTAATCAATAATCAAAAATCAGGATTTCTTCACCTGTCCAAGGTAGACCATTCAGAAAGGACACTGACAAGAGTTACTCAACCCTGTCAAAGAGACACAGGACATCGGTTCAATAAACAAATCCCCTCACTTCTCAGTGGCTTTCACAACCCTTGACATTTTTCCCTTACTCCTTCTTCCCCATATCCAGGTCTCATACCCACGATGACTGCATTTCACTTCGGCTTAAGGTCTAGCCAGTGCCCGACCAATCTATCCTACCTTCCCTCTCCCCATGACTTCCTTCTCAAGTGCCTTTTTTTTTTTTTTTTTTACTCAGTCCTCCACACACCACTCCACCTTTTCCTATATTTACTTGGGCCTGAATGAAGCATTCACAGTTCTCTCCCATTTCTTGAAGTTCAGCTAAGTGTGGTTGCCAGCTATCAGCTCCCGCCACAAAAAGAACAAAACACCTTTGTTCCTAATTCAGTTGCATGAATAAACCCGGGAGAGATAACCACATATACTTTTCCTTACTTTGGCCCATCTACATAAATCCCCATAGCATCGTATTTCCAGTTTTCGGGGATTACATGACGGGCTCTGATAGGGTAAAATGCAGCCCTGAACACAGGTATTTCAGGAGTCATACGCACAGCCTGTTCATGATCTTCAGGGGAAAGGTGGGGCTGCAGAGAAGAGAAATGGCTTACATGTGGACACTTCAAGGAGAGCACCAAGTACAGAGGGCCTGCAGGGAAAGAGGAGTTTGGGGAGGGCAACAATGTCAAGCGACCTCGGCACAGATTTTCAACCTGAGGCCTCGATTCTGCTCTGTGCCCTACTAACTGCACAATCGGGAGAGTTAGAGGATTAGGTGACCAGCACGTTCTGGTGCTCAATGCACAGCTGCTTTTGTTATTATGTGGCCCCCAAATTAATGCCCACTAAAAGCGAGCTTTTTACTAGTTGCTGACACTATAGATGCGGATCCACCTGCGGTAAACTGGCCAAGCCTAAGACCCTTTGCAGAAAACAAAAAACACTCCATGTGAATTACCTGTTTTAAAAAAAAAAAAAAAAGGAAGTTAAAAGGAGAAATACTTATTGTGGTTTGTGAAATACAATAATAGATGTCACCAAGCATGTGGAAATTCCCCAAACTGTACCCCTTCCAAGATCATCCCCTCTGATATTCCATCCAGGGATGAAACAGGGATGGAACAGGGAAGACTACGGTAAGAAAGTTACAAGACAATGTTCACTTGCCAGGGGCCATTTCAGTCTCTCCAGGACACATTCATTTCTGGCTTACTCTTCCACAGAGACAATTTGCATGTGAGGAGCACAACAGGGGCTTCTCAGCCGAGGGAATATACTAGAGTGACGTCCAAGTCTTAAAGGGCAAGGAGAGCAGAAGACGCACACACGCAGTCCATGCTTTCGGGGGTTTTAGGAAACCCCACAACCAAGCTGGTTTCTGATCTGGAGAAGAGGTGGGCGGAACTGGTACTTTATATGCACAGCACAAGGAGGCTGCAGCTTGCAGCTTCATGGAAAAAGTGTTGCTTGTTCTCGGGTGTTTTTTAGCTCGGAAAGTGCCCAGCAAGGAAAGACCACCCTGCATTTCGGCCTCTGTCATTTCCCAAGGCCACGCGTATGGGAACGCCAGGGAGAGAGGGAGGAAGGGAGAAGAGGGGAAAAGCACGTGTGTCCACACATATGGGCCCTTAATACACACAATGCATGATAATAAAGTCCCATTCCTACGAAGTGTGGGAGGACTGTAGCATCCTCAATAGATGGGCAGAAAAATGTCTGTCTGCGCTGATCAACCCGGCCAGACGGAAGCACAGACAAGCGCTCTGAAAAGGCAGCATCTGTAAATGGACTTCAAACGGGAAGAACATGGTGACTTGTACCAAATGCAATTCCCAAAGAAAAGAGACATTCACTCGCATACGAGGGGCAGGAGAATCCCACACGGAGTGAATGCAAGCTTCACGTAAGCTGCTTCTCTCCAAAACAAACCTCGTGACTGCTGATCTACAGACATGTCTACCTTTCTAAGGAATTTATTCCAGTGGGTCAAAATTGTGAGAAGGATTTTCAAAATTCTGTGTTCACTCACTTCACGGGTCATTAGATAGAGGCCTTTCCGGGTGCTCATTTTCCCACTTACCTGTGATGCTGGGGGGGGGGGAATGACTTGAATAACCTAGATAAAGGAACCCAAACAAATCCAAAAGCCCATCCTCTTTTACCTCCTTGCCCTCCAACACGCAAGCCTTTTCTTTGTAAGCAATGCCAAGTCACTAGAAAACAGATTTGCATTTCATCTTTACAGTCTTAGTTTCACTTCAGCTGCAACCCAGACCCAAGCAAGAGAAGTGAACACAAGTGGAAAGAAGAAAAGAATAAAGGGTGTGACTAATCCTCACAAACAGAAAAATAATCTCCTCATCATTTAATGCTAAGAACGATTGACAAGCCGGCTCCAGTGACTTCCGATTCTTTGGTAACTCTAAGATGAACCAAATGTTCGCTTCACTGGATGTGGGTGTTTTCAGCGTGTGGTGAATTCGCAGCCCTCGTGGGACATACTGAACCCCCAGAAGAGAAAGAAAAGATGAAATATGGACAGTAAAGCAACAGTAGGTACAAACCTGCGAGACTCCTAGCTACATCCTGCCTTACAGGACAAGCCCATTTTTGGCTGGTGAGCAACAGAGATTTTACAGCTGTATTTATCACTCTGTGTCTAGCTTCAAAAACAGTAGAGAATTCTCGGTAACTCCAGGAGAAGCAGCTCGGGTCTACCTGGAATCTACAGAAAACACAGAAAGAGATGCTGTGCCGGGGAACCCATGGTGGGAGCACGGGTGGCGCCGTTCTTGCTAAGTGTCTCTTTTTTTGTATTTCACTTTTCACATAGGAAATGCGCTCTCCACATACCGTGCCCAACCAAAAAGGAAACTCTGAAACCTGTTCACAAGTTAGTGGGTACACCTTTGGTCAGTCCCCTGAGAATGTTTCGACGTAGATCAAAATTCTCCATGACCATTAACACAGAGAAGAGAGCTTCATAAATAATCCTTAAAATGCTCTCTAAAGCTTTCAAACATGTTATTGATTTTGGCCCTGCTGGTTCCAAAGCCTGGGATCAGATATGCCTCTCTGAACAGCCTTCAAACTCTGACTTCCCTCCTTTTCAAATGTGTACAAACTACAATAATCTCTCTTTTCCCTTTTATTTGGGGCCGTGATAGGAACCTGATGCAAATTAAAATACCAAATCACTGGATGTGACAAAAGACCCTGGCAACACCCACTTGTCAATAAGAAACCAAAGCATTACTCTACTGAGCACAGGGCTGACCTAATTTCCTACCATACAATTTAAATTTTCTCTCACCTTCTTTAGTTTCAAGTAGTGTGCAAGGTTATTATAACTGCCTCAGAGCTGTTCCTGCTGTCAGTGCTGGAATAATCAGACTTATTGGAATTGCTTTTTTAGTTTCCTAAAAACAAACATTAAACACTTATAAAAAGTAACAAATTTCTACTTCTCTCGCTGGGGAAATGGCAGTTGCCTAATTAAAATAAGATTTCTTCTGCCACCACTGTTATTGGGTACTGAAAATATTCCAAACAGTTGCCTTTTTAAAAAATATCTTTCCACTACTTCCCAGGGAGGAAAGTAATCGCTATGCAGTGGTATAAAAAGGTACCGTTCTCTTGCGATTTGCAGAGGATTAGAGTTTGGCTTCATATATAATCTGGAGCCCAATGATCCACACACACAAAATCATTTCCCTTTAATCTGGGGATCAGACTCTTTTTCTAGAGGAACCTTGGCATTTGCATGCTGAATGTTGAACTTGGCGTGCACTGCTGGAATACTGGCAGGGTGGGAATGGGAAAATATAGTTAAAAGTTTCTGCTACCGTGAGGAGGGGGCGGGGGAGGGGCGGATGTCAATCTGAGCATCAGAAATCCTATTCTAGTCCCCACTTCTTGTTCCCTGGGATATTTAACATTTTATTCTGTTTGGCTCAAGCCAGGCCAAAGATGACTGCCTCGGTGATTGTGCCTACTGTTACTTGTCCTCCCTCTATTTGCTTTTTGGGCTGAAATCCCACCCACCCTCAACTTTGGCCAAAGCAATTTCACTTCAGGGTCGTGTCCAATCCAAGATCAAACAACACCGACTGAAACCAATTCCACGGTGATCAAGGGCCAGAGACCTTTCACATAACCGTGTTGTTTCATTTGCTCCTCTAGCTTCTCCAAGAGCAACTGTATCGTGCAAAGAGGGGATGTGGCACAAGGAAATAAAAAAATCCAGGCAAAAGAGAAAGGGTGATGGGGGGTGATGAGGAGAGGTGACAGGGATAACAAAGCAGGGAGACCAAGAGGAGCTTTCTGGCCAAGGAAGAATGTAGATTTCACTTACAGACTTTGGCTCGCCACTTAAATCGGATGCACTTTTTTTTTTCATGATGTTAAAGCATTTGATAATTAATATTATGCCTCCGTCAGGCAACAGAACCCTTTCAATTTCAGCTTCAAACTTAACTTCAAATTTAACGGAGATAAACTGTCCTGCCCTTTTTGTTGCCAAGATCAGATCTGGAATGACAAACTTCGCTTAAAGAGGAGCACAGACACCCGGAGAAACCCGAGAGAAGGACACCCAGAAATGACTGCACACTCAACCCCAGAGGGCAAAACAAAAAACCACCATAACAAAAACCCTTGATCCTCCCTCTATGTCAAATCCTGGACTTCTGGGCTTTAATTGCTTTTTCTCTCTTTCCTGATTTCTGCAAGTCGTGGGGCATGGAACGAACACAGTAGAAAAGCCAACAAGGGGAATGTCAGTTGGAATCCTCGGAAGAAATCAGGCAGAAAGTTGACCTTTTGGCACTTGCAGTGCAATGCAAGGTAAAGCCTCGCGCGCCCCTTCCCTCCGCGAGGTCGGGCGACGATTTAGGAACAGCCTGTCTGGCTCACGTCCACACAGCCCGGAAAGGAGCAAAAAGCTCCCGCGGCCCCAATCCCCGCGTGGGGAACGCGCTGTCCCCTCTGGGTACGGCGAGAAATCAGCTCTTTCTCTCCGAGCCCATCCCAAAAGCCAGAGGAAGGGGGCTCGCCGCAAGCGCGGCGGCCGAGGGGCAAGCCCCGGGGACGCACCTGCAGCGGCGCAGCAAGGACCCGCGGGGGAGGTTCCCCGACGCCCGGCCGCCCGGCGTCCCGCCGCTGCGCTTGTCCAAGTTTTGGCCGCCCGGGTTTGCCCCCTGCTCGTGCCACAAGTGCACGGACTGCGGCGATCCGAGGGGGCCGTGATGCACTTACCCTTTGAGCTGCTCCCTCATGGTTGCAAGGGCTCGGCGGTCGAAGGAAGGCGCGAGCGGAGGAGTGAGCTTCCCAGAGCCGCCGGACTCCCCGAAAGTCGAGCGCCGCCGCCGCCCAGGCTCGCAGCTGAAAGCACTGCGGAGGAGCGGGCGCGGGCAGGCAAGCGGGCGGGGAGGGGGCGCTGCAGGCAGACGGGGCGGGGCCGGGCCGAGCTCCGCCCCCACCTAGCGACCTGGGAACTCGGGCTCCCAGAGACCCGGCAGTGGGGACTCAGCCTCGCAGAACGGCAAGGAAAAAGACAAGACAGACAGAGGAAGGGATTTAAGGTAGTCCTGGGGACCTGAAAGCCCCACACCGCCCTGCTAGCACCGTCTCCAAACCTCCAGCAAGACTACTTGTTGCCTACATAAATGACCTACGTGCAAATGACCTCATTGCAGATAATTAAGTGTGCGGGCTCAGAGTTTTCTTTTTCAGAGAATGAGAGAGAAAAATCACAGA